GAAAAAGATTTACTACAGACTGAGCAGCTGAAAGGTTTCTCTCCTGTATGGATTCTCATGTGGGTCTTCAGACTTCCACCGTCAGTGAAACATTTATCACACTCTGAGCAGCTGTAAGGTTTTTCTCCTGTGTGGATTCTCATGTGTTTCTGAAAAGCATAACTCTGTGCAAAAGATTTCCTGCAAACTGAGCAGCTGTAAGGTTTTTCTCCTGTGTGGATTCTCATGTGTTTCTGTAAAGTTTGTTTCTCTGCAAAAGATTTCTTGCAAACTGAGCAGCTGAAAGGTTTCTCTCCTGTGTGGCTTCTCATGTGTTTCTGTAAATTTGAACGCTGGCTGAAAGATTTCTTACAAACTGAGCAGCTGAAAGGTTTCTCTCCTGTGTGGATTCTCATGTGTGTATGTAATTTTGAACCATTTCTAAAAGATTTCTTACAAACTGAGCAGCTGAAAGGTTTCTCCCCTGCGTGGATTCTCATGTGTATCTTCAGATTTCGACTCTTGCCAAATGTTTTTTCACATTCAGAGCAGCTTAATAGTTTCTCACCAGCACTACATCTTGAATCACTGACTGAAACTTCATCATTATTCACAGAGTTTAAACCTGACTGAGGTTCTCTGGTCTCCTTCCAATCATCACTGTATTCAGTCTCAGGTTCAGGTCCAGAAGAGTCTCCAGTCTTCTCATCAGTTTCTGGTTCTGGATGTCTATCTGGATCTGAGTTCCTGTCTGGTTTTGGTCCTCCACAGTCCTCTCCAATACCTTCTGTTTGCATCTGTTCAGTTTGTCTTTGATGAAGCTGTGAGGACTGAGCTTCCTCTTCATCATCTTCACTCTTCACAGGAGTGAATGTGAACTTGATATCAGCCTCCTCCAGACCTTGAAGCTGCTCTCCCTCCTGACTAGTCCAGAGGTCCTCCTGTTCCTCTTTAATGTGTGGGGGCTCTGGGTCCTCCTGGTCCAGACTGGAGCTCCACTCCTGCTGTTCAGGGGGAACCTCTTCTTTAACCACCAACACCTGCTGGACGTCTGCAGTAAAACAGAAAACGCATACAGACTTTACAGAATTTTGTTTTCTAAAATAGCTAATTAACTAAAATGCTCATTACCATCGACTATATCCAGATATCTAGTTCATTCTTTTTAGTTCATCCGTTGCTCTGGGTGCAACGGATCACATGACTTGGTTCCGTTTGTGTCACGGTTTTGATTCAGCAGAATAAATAGGACAATAAATATAACTTTTAGAGATGCCCCGATCACGTTTTATTGTCATGGATACCGATAGCCAATTAGCCGTATTGGACAAAACAGATTGGTATTGTTGTAGTTTTGTGATCCAAGGTTACAAGTTACAAGGTTATTTTTGTTGTCATTGTACAACAGGGTTGCACAACAAAATGCAGATCGTAGTCCAATTTTACTACATAACAAAAACAAATTGCTGAAATCTACAAATAAATGTACCAGCTGGTTGGTCTAATATGTACATCACATATTGATGACTCAGCGGACAAATTGCATCAAAACTACTTCAAAAAGGTATTTGTGTTGCACACAGTCACTAAACAGAGAACTGAAATAAATTTGCCATAAAAAATTATATGGAAATAAAATGCATATTGTATTCTCATTGTGTCACTGAACACTTATTTTTTACTAAAATCCACTCGCCACAACTTAATTTGAACATAAAATACTGTATTAGTTTCTTATTGTGTGTCTCTGACCACTCTTAACATGTAGATGCCATAAACATCATATGAAATATAGTGCATTAAGTAAAGTTGTCTGTCACTATGGCTGGGTCGTTCCCACTCATGTCCCATTCCTCCAGGTTCACTTTTCAGTACCTCCGTGATGTCACTGCCTGTACGTGCTCTCGTGCTGTGGTGTCTTGATGTGGTGTGACGTAGTCGTAACATTGGAGTCGGTGGTCTAGTGTCTAACATCGTACGTCAGAGCTACTCTCTTTTGCAGGGGGGAGAAATGTTTCGACACGTTTCTTCACCTCTTCGTAAATCCTGGGCACTACACTGCTACATCCATCATGTGATGGCATGATTTGGGATCACATAGCGCCGCTCTACAGAATATGGCGACTTGATTGTGAGACGCCATGTTGTGATTTTGGCCGGATCATGTGACAGGCACGGCGGAGGTCACTGGCCTGAGCTTGGAAGGCAAAAGTCAGCGGCATCTAACATTACAAGAGCGGAGGAAGAGATTGTTTGACACAAAGGGATTTGAGGCAATTTAAAATACATTTTAAATCCGTTTAAAACAGGATTTAAAAAAAAATGTAAATATTGTAGTTGCGGAAATGTTGACACAATATTGCTTAAAAAATATTCCGATCGTACGATACATTTGTACAGCCCTATTTGTGTCTGGGTAGGTTCTCTTTTAACATACAACCAAATGAAAAATACAAACAACAATACTGTAGAATAACAAAAATATTAAACGATGAAATGTGCTGCTTTAATGACACAAATCTGTACTGTCCTGTACCTGTGCAAACGGAAATATATCTAAATCCTAAAACGTTTACATGAATACACGAGTAATAATAAGATAATGGTATAATATATATAGCCTAATACCACTGTACTTTTAATGCCTTAAGTAGTACATTTTCCTGATTAAACTTACATATTTTTACTTTAAAGAGCAGTGTGTAGGATGTATTGGCATCTTAGTGGTGAGGTTGAAGATTGCAACCAACTGAATACCTTTCAAGGCGTGTCGGAGAACTACGGTGGCCTTCAGGTAAAGTAAAACCGCGAAAGTCTCTCTGTAGAGCCAGTGTTTGGTTTGTCCGTTCTGGGCCACTGTAGACGGCGGTCAAGTGAGCCGTCATCCTCGGAATCTCGGTCAAGCCAGCCGGCGCTTGAAATGTAATGCTCCTCTATTCATGGTGCTACGGTACGGGTGCTTGGATAGCCAAAAAAGCCCGGAGATGGACCTATATTTAGGCAATAATTTGTCCAATTTGATATAACAAGTCAAAAACGTCATTTTTTTTTACATTATATGAAATACAATTATAATAAAATCTGAAGTTACACTGCTGTACTGTTTTTTATTGAAAAAGGAGGTTCGAAAACTACAATTATTATCAAATAATAATTTTAATCTGCAAAAATGGCCTTCAATAGTTAGCTAAAATTTCCACTGGAGTCCTGTTCATGAGGACCCCTCATCAGACATTTGTACTGTACTAATTAAGAGATATTTCAAAGTAAAAGTCATACATTTGTACCGAGAAAATATCTAATAACTGAATATTTGAGGTGCTATAAAAATATTTTTCTCTATAATTCCAGACAATGACTGATGCATATATGCTCAGGACATCTGTTAAAAGCTCATAATGTAATAATCAGTACATAATGTAACAATAATTGTTGTCTTTGTCTCCAATTGTTGAACTAAAAGTATGTGCTGTTTTTTTATTCTTATTTCTGAATTAGAAAATGTTTGATGTTCATAATTACATAACTTAAACGTTCTAAAACCTTTCCCTTGTAAAATAAAATTGTTTGATTTTTTACTATGGTTGGAGTCATAGATGTCCTGATTTACTTTTTTAATGTACAAATGTTAGACATTTACTTTGAAAAATCTATTAATTGTTACAGTAAAAATGTTTTTTGTAGGGTTGTAGTCAGATTTGTCTTGGACACATAAGTCAGTGTGGAATTATTGAGAAATACATAGTACGTCAAATATAAAAAATAGCTTTTTAAACATTCAAAAGTAGGGCTTTTAATTTGGAAAAATCTCCAAATTGGTAGAGTAAAATTGCTTGATTTTCTCTATGGGATGAGTCAGAGATGTCCTGAACACACATGCATCTGTCATTATTTGGAATTATTGAGAAAAGTATTTTTTAGCACCCTAAAATATTCAGAAATTAGCTTTTTGAATTTACAAATGTAAGACATTTACATTGTAAAATATGTAAATTGGTACAGTACAAATGTCTGACTTTCAGTATGGTTGTAGTGAGAGATGTCCTGAATACATATGCATCAGTCATTGTCTGGAATTATTGAGAAAATAATTTTTATAACACTTCAAATATTCAGTTATTAGATATTTTCTTGGTACAAATGTATGACTTTTACTTTGAAATATCTTTTGATTTGTACAGTGAAAAAGTTTTATTTTAGGATTGGTGGAGTCAAAGATCACCTGAACACATATGCATCAGTCATTGTATGGAAATGTTGGGAAAAATATTTTTATAGCACCTTAAGAATTTCAGAAATTAGCTATTTGAAGGTACAATTTCAGTTCACAGTTTTAACTTCATAAAATATCTTAATTGGTATATTTAAGATGCTTGATTTTTGTTTGGATGTGGTCATAAGTGTCCTGAACACATACATATTAGTGAGTCAGATATTACTAATCAAAGAATAAAGACACTTCATCCACAATTTAGTTATATTTTCCCTTTAACTCACGAGATGCAGGTAACATGTTTTATACTTGATGTGAATATTATTCACTTAATCTTATTTACACATAATATTGTATATACGCTTAGTTGCCATCTTATTTTGAAAACCGGATGTTGTCTCACGTTAATCTTTCCGCTAACTTTGCAAAGTCCTTCGCTCCCGATCTCTGTCATTTTAATGCGTTTACCGTGAATTTCAGTATATAGACGCTGCTGAGTTGACCGCAGGAGGAGACAGGGGCCCTAAAGTTCACCCACATTGGACTGATGTCAGTGTGAACAGTGTTTGAAGAGTGAGAGACCAGAAGCTTATAATATAAATAAATAATCTGAGGGGTTCTGGAGCTGTTAACGTCTTCAGATCAGAGAAGTAAAGAGAACCAACCTGCTCTGTGTAACCGAAGCTGAGGGAT